TTGTGGCTATTCGTGTATATAATATTATCAGACAAGGCCTCCTACCAGCGCTATATAACCTACAGTTTCAAAGTCCGGTGAAGCAAAGTCCTGGGTCAATCTGAGATCGGCACCAATAGATACAGGTCTTTTGCATCAGTGCACAAGAGAAGTCTCACTTTGCAGTTGTGGTATGGATGACAAGGTAGGGGACACATTATAAAAGGAGAAGAGTTATCTGTGAGTCTCTCCTCTTTGGGGACCTACGGGGTACAGCAATGACCTGAATTACAGGGTTTGCTTGAAAACAACACATTTGCAACAGAAGGCACAGGCATCTCTACAAATCAGCCCCAGTGTGTCCCCGGCAGGACAGCCATCTCTATCAGGATCAGGACTGACTGGATCCCTCATCCCACAGCATGCCAGTACTCGGCAGGCACAGACTGCAGCTCTCCGGATCTCCTGCCTCTGCTCTACCTGAAGCTGGCACCAAAAATAGGTCAGGTGCCTGAACACTTGTGTCAAAAGAACACAGATAGCTTTGGTTTTGATGTTTAGGTTGTATTTTGAGTCTTACACAGTCCTCAGCTTGTTGTTGCTACATGAATAATAAGTATAGAGCTTCCAAACTTATTTGTTAATGAGTGGCTTAAAGAAGTATCTTTGGGATAGAGGCCCTGAAGTCTGAACCTTCCCAAAAAAGAAGGCTTGATCTGTGCGTGCTCAGTTATATTAGACAAGTCTGAGGTTACATTGTGGGGGTTTTTATGTTTTGATGCTTTTTCATATGCACACTTGCAGTCTGTCTGCCCCTGGGTGCGGGCACTCATCCACTGTACTGCTATATCGCTTTCCTTTCTGTAGAAACAGGGGAAATCCCATCCCTTTGAGATGATTGTCTTGCAGCTGCATGTAACTCATTTACACACATTTCCAGGAGCCGATGCAGCCGTGGTGATGATGAAGGAATGACAGAGCACATACGCACAGGGCACGGCAGATGGGGGAGTCATGTTGCTCCCCCCATGTTGCTCACATTGTTGTTATGACAGCGGCACACGGCCTTCCTCTGCGTCTGTAACAGCTACCCACAAGAGCTCCTGGTCTTTTGCTATTTAGTTACGTTCCTGTGGTTAGTTTTATCTATCACCACTGACTTTGCCATTGAAGCACAGATTTGGGTGTTGGGGAAGTATGGCAAATCTAGAAGAGGCGGCCAAAAACTGCCAGAGAGAGGGAGCTGGGGAAGCTCCTCAGAACCACGTCCTCGCTGCCGGACAGGGGACGGCAGGGGCTGAGGCAGTGTCCCGGGGGCTGCCTCGCTGGAGGGGAACAGCCGCCCAGCAGGAATGACAGGGAAAGAGGATAACTCCTCCTGCAGTAGGACAGGGAATCAATTGGGAATTGAGGAATTAGTCCTCTGCCTGTGAGAGAGACTCAGGGTGGGAAACGCCCACAAGGTAGGAAAAAAAATGGAATTACTAGGCAGTGAGTCCTCATAGTGATTACAACACCCACATTCATGGTAAGTGGATAATACGCTAAACAACCTTTGCAAGTTGGCTAAGCGATGTTGGGACAAACAACTGAATAAAAGCGTGTTTCAGACCATAACCTGCCCTTTTATTTTCACAGATCAGGAAACCAGCAGAATACTAAAGTCGTAAGTGACATAAGGTAGTGTTTAAAAGTTAAGCCTCAGCAAACCCGGTAACTTGTTGCAGAATGAGGAGAATTTTTCTTTGGTAGTTTCAGACAAAAAAATCCCTAGCAAATCATGCAAGAAGAAAATTAAATTCCGTATTTATTTTTCTACATATTTCATTCCGTGTCTTTTTTTTGTTTCATTTTGGTTTATTGTTTTTTAGTCATTATATACACACTCTCTGAGCTTCCACAGTCCTAGCTAGTTATCGTCCAGGAGAGCTCTAAGGAAATATACTTCCAGCTTATTCCCCCCACCCCCCCAACACACACTTTCTGCAAAAATGTAAGCTCAGGGTGAATACTACAATTTACAGAAAGGAAAAGGCACACAGCAAACATGTTACTTACACGTGGTCTTTTCCATTCGAATTTGATGGGGATTTTCTGGCTATAGAAGAGGGAGGACTCATTCGGTGGGAAATCAGGATCTTCGTAGAGAATGTTTTTCTCCAGGCACTTCTTGTGAAGCTCTTCATAGGTCTTCTCCTTTACTCCGATAATGGGCTGGTTGCGACTTATAATGGCAGAATAAATCCCCCCTGTGCCTCCACCCGCACCTTCAGTTGTAGTGCTAATAGTAGCACTGGGAACTGACCCAGCAGCTGTCTGCTGAGCCACTGCTGCATTTATGGCGGACGGCATGGGAATCAGGCTGAAAGCAAATGCTGAAAGAAAGCTTGCTTGAAAGATCTTGCAAACTAGAAGGAAATTCAAGAAAAGAGGAAGTTCCTGTGTAAACCGCTTTTTCTATCCGTTGAAAGTCTCCCAGTCAAATCTGCAAGCAACAAAATTCCATGTGGTTGAGCACGTTGTGCATCCTCTCAAAGGGCAGTATTTTGTCATAAGAAAACGGAATTTATTCCTTGATGTGGAACAAGATAATCTGTTGGCTAACTCCTGTGCCTGAGTTGTAGTTATCTACAGCATGTGTGTGTGCCTGCCCTGTGTGTATAAGCGTTCAGAAGGGACAAGCTTTAACCCGTGAAATCTAAAAATAACTACAGGCAAAGAGAGAGGGAGGGAAAGTGAGAGGGAGGGGCTTAGTGAGATGGTGTCAGTCTTCTGCGTGGCTCCTGCCGAGGCCCAGGCATGTTCCCGGGACAGGCTCCCTGTGCAGGCTGACTCCTGGTGCAAGCAGCTCATCTTTTCCTTCAGTAGAGAGAACAGTAAAACTGGAAGCTAAACTCCTGCTGGTTTGGGAACGCACTTATGAAGTACTGCCGGCCAATAAACTAGTCCTGACACTCCTGATAGATAGATATCTATATATCTCTCTCTATATATATCTATCTCAGGATATAGTGATTTTTTATATATATATATAAAAATAGATATATAGCGATTTTTACTAGTAGAGAGGATTATGTGAAGACATGCTCCTAATGGTGAAAAAGGTAATTATTTGATGCTACTGAGGTCAGGTCAATACCTGCCAGCTGGGTTTGGCTCCTCTAGAGAGCAGCTTGCCAGCACTAAGATTCACCTGGTGATAGCTACCTCCCATGTAAAAGGTACCTTTTCATACAGGGGCAGAAAAGTTTCTAAGGGGCCCCATGTGGAAACTGGGCCATTCTGTGTGTGTTAGGATATACCAGTCTTAGAGGAGATGTCTGACTTTGCACATTTATTTTGTCACACAACAGTGGTATAATGGACAAACTCACAGTCTCCATGAAAGAAAATCTAAACACATGTTGCTCTTCTCTATAACCCAGTTCTTTAAAAGGTGACACTGTTTATGTGTCAAGAAAAGCCCCCTAACACCTTGATTTTTGTTTGATTGGGGAGTCTTAAATCACATGATGACATCAGTGTTATTTTTGCCTAATGACACCAGTCTCTGGATTCTGGCTCATGTACACATTGCTGACCTTCTGCCCTAGTACTATGGTGCTTTCCAAAGCACTGATTCTTTTTTCCTTCTCAGCCATTTGCTTGGTTTACACATTTCAAATCAACAGTACAATGGACAGTCTCTACAGCTCATTAAAAAAGCTCCACTAGGGGAACTTTTAAAGAAGGTAATATAGTTGGCAAGCTTGACTAACCTCTAGGAGTATTAATCCTTAGTCTTCTAATGGTGGCCTAAATCCTTTTCTTTTTATCATGATTGCAAGCCTTCTTGCACCAACAGGGCGATCAGAAAGGACAGATTCAAGTATTCATGGAAACAGGAATGCAATTGCTTCAGGGTGGGTTGTCCAGATGCAGAATTGATGACTTCCTCATTTGATTTAGATGCAAGGGTTGCAGGTCTCATATTTGACATTACTTTGCAGGACAGCTTGGCAGAGCCATGTGTCACTCTTTCCAGGGTATTTCAAGAGCAATGCAAGTAGTGAGATGCAAGGGCCTCTCACTGCACAGCTTCAGCAAAAACGCTCATTTTGGAGGCTATGCATATGTTCTTTCTTTCATATTCTCCCTTCTTACCCAATACAAAAACTCACCTATTACATCTCATACACAGAGCTCTGTTTCAGGAAGGTCAGTAGCACAGGTGTGATATTTGACAAACTGCTCGTGGGCTGCTGGGAAGGACCAAATGAAGGATTAACAGTGTTTCTATATTTTATTTTTTTTCTTGGGATGGTCAGCAAGTGTCACAGTATGACCTGCTGCTACAGCTAACAGTTCAGCTGCTGCCTGCATAGGGAATGGCAGGTGGACATGTGCTTCTCACTTCTAAGTCAATGTTGCTCTTTACAGATGTTCAGGAGTATTTCGTGGTTATACCTGTTCAATAAAGGTATTGTCTGCTACAAACAGCAAAATAAACCCTTTGCCCATTAGGAATTAAACCACCTTTTGCAATGGAATTTCTTGGAAGCAGAAGTACCCCAATAGTTGACCTGTTCAGACAGAGCAAAAGTGAACTACATGGATGACAATCTTTCTATTTAATTTTTAAGAAGTTTTATCTCCAGTTGTTTTCACTAATTGAATTCAATTACTTTTTTTATAAAGGTATACTATAAATTTATTTCTTCATTTATGGCATAAATATGTGGAAAAGTATGTGAGTTGCTACAAATATCAATGTAAATTATATTCTTTGAAATTTATTTCCTCAGATCTAAAGGCACAACTGCTATGATTTTCAGCAACTAATTCCTATCAAAATCCATAGAAGTTAGGCACTTCATACCACTGAAAATTTGAGCCAGGAGTAATTACTATAGTGCAGGTATCACACTGAGGGCCAGAATATAAAAGCTAGTCGTTCACTTTAACCAGATACCGTTGGAAGAATACTTAGTAGTGATTCTCAACAGTAGAAAGAAGACTGGAAGGAATAAGGCATGTAACTCGCTTCATTGTTACTTTATTTTACTTACTTTCCAACTTCAGAAATACCAGTTAAAACATTTCATTAAAATGCTCCAGACAATAATTATAGCCTGTCAGAAGCACTGCTACGCTTAAACATAAGAAGCACTTGTCAATTACAGCTTAGAAGCTGATAGAAAAATAGGGTCTGTCTCTCTTCTCACAGATGTAAAAGATCTATTTGCTACTGTTCTACCTGGATTGACTCGTCTGCATTAAGCACAGCAGTATTTAGGCTGCCAGTTCCTAGAGTGGAGGCTCACACTGCCTGCTAGAAGGGGCTGACAAACAGCTCTGCAGAATAAAAAAGAAGGACCCTAAGGGTCTGGTGGGGAACAAACTGTGCTTGGTAGTCAGGAGTGGAGTAGTCACAGTTGCTCTCACACTTGCTATTCCCAGAAATCTGCCCTGCGGAGGTCAAACAGCAGCAGGTGGGAATGACTGACCAAGCACAGGGGGGACTTAGTAAGAAGAGTAGGGAACAACGTACAAATGGACTATTATGTCACCTTTAGTTGGCAAAAAATGGTAACCATCCTCCTCTGTTTCCTAAGAGTTAATGTACTGATGTTTTTAGAAAATACTTATCTTGCTAAAAGAAATTAAGTAAATTTTGCCCTTTTATATCCACAAAACCCAACTGATGGCATGTTCAGGTTTGACTCAAAGCAGAACTGGTTTTAAAATAATGAAGTTGACAAGTGTAGCAAACGGAAGGAGCAAACAACTTGAGCAGTGGAGCAATGGTAGCCTGCAAAAAGAGATGCCTGATATGGAAAGGGCTGTGGGAATAGGCAGGATGTAGGGGATGTGGGACTTGGGATGTCTCCTAGTTTTGAAAGGGAAGAAAGCATCAGGACACAACAGTTCTGTTTGCAGAGATGGTGGGAAAAGGAGGTAAGGGAACATTAGGGTGAGTGGTAAGAGAATGGGGAAATAAGCATGAAGTGGGATGGCTAAATGCAGGATGAATCCCATTAAAATTAAAAATTTGCTTCATAAATACCAAGCTCAAATCTCAGCCAGATACTAAAGAGTAACCAAGAAATTACTAAAATATGTGTAAAGGAAGCCAAACCTTGGCAAGAGTTAGCAGATGTGGAGAAGCAGAGCTCTCCATAAGCAGAGTTGATTCACTGGGTTGGCTTTAACCAATGACATTCAATCATCCAAAAATGCCAATTCTTTCCTAACAAAAAAGTTTTTTTTAAGTAGTACTTGCAGAGAGAGGGGAGCAATAACATGGAAGATGTTTCTACGTGAGTCTAGCTGCTACCCTAAGCCAGTATTGCACTTAGGTAGACCTGTGCCTTTTCAAAATCCAAACACCAGTTTCAAAGCCAGCTATCGGAGAGAATTCCGCACTCCCACATTACTGTCTTTTACCATCGCACAACTGACTGGCACAACCTACTCAAACCTTACCTTCAGTGACCGAACTGTTTAGCTAGCCTGTTGTTTACTTTCCTGTACAGACTGCCTAATTTTGCATTGTCATAAGGACTGGAAAGGGGAAGTGTCTGTAATCACACTGGGTGGCTCCTTCTGTGTTTGTTTTCACAAGGCAGCTTGCAGGCAGAACTCTGATGATAACCTCTGCGTCTGGCATATCTACCGATGCCGCTTGTCAAACTGGCCCGGATCTGCTCTTCTCAAGTACTCCAGCCTCTGAATACCAGGATTTCCAAATACTTACATTAAACCCCATGCCAACGAGCCACAATCTCACCCCACCAATTTATGATTTTTTGGTGCAAGTCAAGGCAGAACTCAATCTTAATGCCTAACTGGAGCTAGCCTGGAGCAGATAGTATTTAGCTTTTTTCCCCAAAGGTACAATCCTAGTGCTACTACTTTTGCCGAATAGAAAAGCTATCCAAGTTCAAATCAGTGCTTTAAAGAAAAATTGTAGGAAATATTAGTTTGGGGGTGTGGGTGGGAAATATGTTCCTTGATTTGACTGGATTCAAGTGAACGCTTTAAGTCCTCCCAACTTATTTCCCCTCAACCTCTCAATGAATTCTCTGAAGAAGTTGCGTCTCCTTTCAGTTGATGCAAATCTCCCAGTCAGCATCAACACTCAGGGCTAAATTTCCCAGCGTCAGTGCAGAGGTCTTCGTATCGTATGTGAAAACCACTTCTTTTTCTTTCCCATCTGAACAGGACAAGAGAGTTTACTATATGATTTAAGAAGAACCCTTCTGAAACACAGTTACACGTGACTCCCCCCCCAGTTTTTAATTCAGACTGTCCCTGCCACGGGTGGAGAGGATTGATTAAAAAAGAAATAGTAGTCAAACCTGCCCAGTATACACATAAGAATGCAGCAGAATTGGAAAAACTATTTCTTTTTTTCTGACCTTTCAAACTATGGTACATCAAACTATGGAACTATTCAAGGATTTTTCTGAAAAAAATAACCCTTGTTTCAGCATAGGTTTTCCTCCAAGCACCCTAAAAGTCCTTGAGATTGACAGGTGGAGGCAGAAAGTCCACATCCACACAATTCCCGAAGTGAAGGGACCTGCTTGGAAAGCAGCCAGAAACGATAAGCCCTTTCTGTACATGCTACTACCTATCCGTATGGGATCCCTCACAACTTCTAGAGATCCCCACATAGTCACAAACTCCAGACATTTTTGAATGAGCAAGAGAACAGAAAAGTAATCCTGGTTTTGCCTGCCAGTTTCCTGTTCTAGTCTAGGCAGGCTTACAGATCTGAGCAAATGGTCCTTCATTTGAAATGCTATGTCTGGTCATATGCTGTGCAGGACAAAGTTATCTGAACTTGCTAATTCTGAACGACTTTTACTGATGTATCTTTTGCCTTACAAAGCAAGTGTTCTTCAGTTCTGCATGTAATATTAGTGGTGAGTAGCTGCTGGCTCTTTTCAATAAATTCTGTCCTCGATATCAAAAAAGTAGCAAATAAAACTAAACAAAGATGCTCCCTATGCTGTAACACCTCCTTTATAGAGCTGTCAGTTTGCCACCTCTAGTGAATGGCAGCAGAGCAACAGTACTTCAAAAAATTGTAGTGAAATAGAAGTCAGTTAATTACCCTTGGAACAGGCCATCACAAAGGTGGGTTGCTGTCTAAATCCCAGAACTATCACCCGTTCAACCACACATGTAGTGTGGTATTGTCCGCTTCCATCCGTGCAGCTGAAAAAAGAAAATCATTTCATATACATTAGTTTCTGTCCATCAGTAGAAGTTCAGCATCATACAGAGAAAGTACTACTTCAGTCTCAACCTGAAAGTTCCCTATACTGGTTTCCTTTCCTCTGTTTACCTTTCTCCTGAAACAAGTAAAACTTTCTCCCATTATCAGCTAAATTATCACTGCATAGCAGATTTCACAAAGCTAGAAGGAAAAAAGTTTGAGAAGTTATTTTGTGGCAAAAAGCATGGCTTTGACAACCAGAAAAGTTCTGGATTTTTGCAAAATGGTAGTTAAAACTCCTAAGTATAAATGTAAAGCTAATTTTAACATTTTTTCAAGTAAGGTGTTTCAATCTGAGGCACAATTATCTTTCTTTTTGTAACTAATTTAATTTTTATTAAAAAGCTCTAAAAAAACTCAAATCAAAATTAAACTTTCCTTTCCGGAGTAATCAGAATGTTTTATCATTCATCTCAAAATGACTTTTTTCCAACTTCTAGACTTGCTAGCAATTTAGCAACATTTTTCTTTTCCACCCTGAATTTTTAAGCTTTTCAGATTTCGTATCCCAGATAAAGAGACTTGAAGCATACTTTTAACTACATTATCCAAGCTAGTCTATAGTTTTGCTCTGTATTAAACTTTGTAGTTTTAGGACCACCTCCTGCATATTTTTGAACCCTGAAGGAATAAAGAAACACCTGTAAAATCACCATTTATGCACTGCACAGCCCCATGGGCAACACACCTCAATAGTGAAAGTGTCATAGTGACATATTCAGCATCTCTTTCCTTACAAGCGGGTACGGCTATTTTTGGCTTTTAGGTTGTTTCACTCAGCCTTTGCAGGTTGTGCTTCCTTTCAAATGATTGTCTTGTGTATTTTACCATGCTAATATATATTGTGCATTTGTTGATGACTTTTGGAGACTACATGTAATGGTGTCTGTTTGTGGTTCTCACATAGAATCACAGAATATCTCAAGTTGGAAGGGACCCATAGGGATCATTGAGCCCAACTCCCTGCTCCTCTCAGGGATACCTAAAACTAAATCATATGACTAAGCACATCGTCCAGACGCTCGTTGAACTGTGACAGGCTTGGTGCCTTGACCACTTCCCTGGGGAGCGTGTTCCAGTGACCGACCACCCTCTCAGTGAAGAGGATCTTAGAAAAATACATCTTAGAAAATACAAACACTCCAGGTGTTGCCTATTTGCAAATCTCCCAGTTTATCTTCTTTTGTCTCTCTGATAGGCTTTACTCTTGCTGATGACTTTCTTTGTATTTGAGTAAATCTGTAGAATCTGTAGATTTGACTAGACTGAAACAGAATGAGACAACTCAGTATTTCATGTGTTGCTGCCATGAGACTTATGCAGAACATTGTTTATCTCTGCAGTTTTATGGCAGATTCTGCATGCTCTGGGAATTCACTAAGCAATAGATGAGACTAATACTTCCACATTTGTAAGAAGGCCTCATGAACTAGAAAAGGCATTCCCAATGACAGTGTGTTGGTGGCTTTTGTCCATAATTGCTGTTACCTGGAAGAGAGAATGTTCTTGTGGAAAGTGAATTTCCGATACAGGAACTGCTTCTTGTGGAGATATTGAAATGAATGCCCATCATCTAGGTAGAGCTCACCTATTGCACAGGCCTGTGAAACACACCAGATGGAGAACAAATTAACAGCAGCTTCTAGGGCTGGACAATGAAACTAAAAATGTCTCACTATACGTCATGCTTCATAGTGAAGGGTGTGTGTTTATTTTTCTTTAGCAACTTGTATCCCTGGAAGGCTCAGGGAGTCCAGCTCTGAGAGTGCCTGAAGACGCGGACATCCTGGTTTTGTAAATTGATGTGGGTGCCAGGTGTCACCTCATTTATTAGAAAAGACAGCTGTGGGAAGTTCTCCCTCTGTGTCCAAGAGGAAGTTTGTGGCCTGCTCATTCTCTGCTCCTTCCTCCAAGGGACTAGAAGAGGGCTGAGAAAGGTCAGAAAAATGTTCTGCCTCTGCTATACTCAGATAGTCTCACTTTGAAGGAACAGTGGGAGGGAGGTGGGAGCCCCCCCAGATAGGAGAAGTGGAGGACAGCCATTGGGCATACAGATGCAGATACCACTGTACTGATCGAACAGGCACCAAGGACCTAAAAAGGTCAGATGGAGTAAAAGACAACTTTGTAAAGGGAACGTCATCTCAGAGTACCTCTGTGTCCAGGGCCACGTGGAGTTCGTAAGAAATATCTACCATCCATTCAGTGGATTTTCCAGCCGTGGTCTTCAGAGGTATCACAGTGCCGCCCCGCTGGAATACAGGAATCTGCGAACAGCAAAGCCAGAGTAGAAAGGTTCATATACTCTGATCATATAATTTTAACTTGGAACAGGGATAACTGAAGCTTGCTCTTATCAAAGCTCAGAAATGAACTTTTACCACAAGTACATAAAGAAAACTATTCAACTAACAATGGGAATAGTAGCAATCTTCCTGTATGTGTACAAGTGAAGTATCTTTGCTTGGAGAAGTCACCCTTACATAATCTCACTTTTCTCTGCCACCAGGACACATTAGTGTTCCATCTAACAACAAAGGAGATGGGACTCTTCTTCCCTACAAAGGCTATTTTAGGTTACATTCCTACAAGGAAATTGAAATGTCACTTTTCTGATTTTGAGTGTTGACAAAACAAAAGCCTATTTGGTTTTTTTTCTGTTCAATGGAAGTAGGATTTTAAAACAAAAACATACATTCTCCAGTGTTACTGGGATCTTCAGAGTGCCTGGATCTTCCATTCGTTTAAATTTTCTGAAATCATACCAAATCTAGGAAAAATAAAAAAAGAATGAGCGTTTGACATATATGGCAAGATCTGTTCCCTCTGCAGGTGCAGTTGCTCTTCTGCTTACCCTTACTGTCACTATTCCTAGCAACCTATTTGATGCGCAAGAAATAGCATTTACTTTTTAAATCAAATGAGCTTCTGGATGGAAAGAATAAATTCTCCTTCCTGAAGCACAAAAATAAGTTGATCTTTTCTACAGTTTGCATAACATCTTGTATGTCTGTCTTAAAGCATCTGGAAGTACAAAGCAATGAAATACCTTTTTTTCTAATCTAGATATGCTGAGTTCCAGAATAAGCCTATTTATATTCAAGTGAAAATTAACACCAAAGTTGCTAAAAACGGGTCACAAAAAAGAGCTACATCTGAAACTTCCCATGCACCACACTTGCCAGCAGTTTTAACTGCTTTAAGTGTGCCAGGCAGTCAATTCCCACAGACATCTCGATAAAAATATTTTTCTTGTTTGGAGAGCCTAGTCTGTTTTCCTCCTTATATTGAGAAGAACTCTAAGTGTCCTCAGGTGCATTAGTGCAGTCACAAGGCTCTGCACGGTCTCACACAATCCCCTTTGCTGCTGTCTTTCCTCTCATTCCTGGCTAGAGTCTCGGGCTTTTCCTTAGGAACTATTTCCCCCAAATTCCTTCCCTTCCTCCATCTCTCAGCTGCTGCAGCCAAATGCTCTGTGTAGGAGTGGATCACAGTGCCATCCTGTGGATAAATAACTTTACTTCAGAGAGGAACTGATCTCTGTACATGTCAAAGTCTTTGCTGCACACGTCCCAGGCTACTGAGGCTTGTATTTCCTTGTTTTAATTTTCCCTCCCCACAGCTTCCCTCTGATCTCCTTATGACCTTTCTTCAAAGATCCCTTTTCTTCCACATAAAAGAGAAGTTTAACCCAAAGAGAAATAAATGAAAAAAGGGAATTGACAATTTAGTGAAGCTGTTTTTCAGTGTTCCATGAGAATCAGCAAGCCTTGAGGGGAGATTTAAATTACAGGAGACCTGAGATTTGTGCAGCAGCTCTTGGAAAAGCAAGAAAGTAAATTTACTGTGAGCCAAGCATGCGAGGTATCAAGATGGAAGGAAGGTTCAGAGTGGCACAGAATGGCTGGCCAGCACTTGGCAGAGCGGCAGTGCACAGCAGTTACGAGATGGGGAGCTGGAAGGTTGCTGTATAAAATACTTCCTTGGGCTGAACAGCTGAGCAGCTTCATATTCGTCCTCACCTCCTCTGATCCTGGAAGCAGAACACTCACTGCCTTGGCCTCTTGCTCCGTGACTGGATGCACCAACAAAGCATTTCCTGGAGAAAAACATAAACATGGCTGTGGTCCTCAAGGCTGCATCTCATCGGAGAAGCAGCTGTGTGCTCTGGGGTTGTCAGCCTCCCATAGCCATTTTAGGGGCTTGCTTGGGCATGCCAAGTGCTTGGGTTCACTTTCTACTGGAAAAAAAGGCCTGTGTAGGGAGCTGATGGCTGCTTGGGTCTTGTTCTGTTATGGCACTGGGATGCAGCTGGGCTGCATTGTATACCCAGCAGCTTGGAGGCACTTCTGGGTCCCTCATAGTCTAAGAGATGACTGCCTGTTTGCTCTTTGGTTGAACAAAAAAATACGCTTTTCTAACCAAAAGAGTGGAGGACAGGAATGTCCTTGTAAAAAAAACCCACAACTGCTTAAGCTTATTGCACTGCGGATTGTTCTTCTTTACTCATAAAAAAAAATACATTAATGTATATAAACTGTACAGTTTGATAAACTTCTTCCCTTCTTGCCCACTGGTGATGCAAGCCAAACTCCCAGAGTCCTCTGAAATGTTCTGCTTCACCACACTTAGCTTTTGTGTCCTGCCTACCTTGGTCAGATTTCTGCATGAGAAGTGAATGTCCCGTCATTTGAAGGCCATTAGTAGGCACTCTTGAGCCCAGAGGCAACAAAAAAATAATGAAATGCAACATTCCCCTCCCACTCTCTCTTTCTGTATAGGCTGAATGTGCTTTACACAAACATGCTCATCTCTTAAGCTTAATTTCTGAGAAAACTGACTTTAGCAGCCAGCCATATCAGAGTAAAAACCAATCAGCTTTGGATGGTAGTTGTTTGCTGCTGTCATTTCTGAAGCAGACTGTGGTCTTAGCTGCTATAGTGAACTTCCATGTTTCAGGTCAAAACAGACTATGTTTTTTCAAAGTGATTAGTGAGATTGAACTCAGTATGACCCCTATTTTCAAAGTGCTGTTAAAACTGCGTCCCTTAAAGAGGTCTCAAGTTCTTTAATCAGTTAAAATACAATTTTTAAAAGTCTTGGGCAGAATTTTCATGTTTTCCTTTTGTCATGCAACACTATCACCTCAAAAATATCTAATTCAAATTCCAGAGAATGAGAAGACACCTACTTACCCAGCATATATTCATTTTCCACACCAAAAGTTTCTATTTCGCCTGGAAACTCTATCCAGAGAGGCCTGTAGAAAGAAAGATAGTGGCATTCAGAGAGTTTCTCCTCTCCCACCAGCCTGTTCAAGGCCTTCTGGCATTTTCAGGCTCCATTTTCTCCCTCTCTTTACAAGGTACAAGAACTATCAAGAACTGAAGATAGGGCAAGGTCCTCTTCTGTGCTTTAAAGTACCCCTTTTGAGTCTCTCTGAGAGTTCCCAATATAACATGGGTTAAGACACTCCAACATACCTATGGTTTGACCTCCCGCAGCCTCACTTTCTTCCCTCCTGCCTTCCTCCTTACAAACTTGCACTATGTATACCTTCCTTCTAGTAAAGGAGAGATGGATGAGCCTTTCTGTCACAGTCTACCAGCAATGCTGATACCTGATGAGCTAGTCCTTGCAGCACAGCCCTTCCCGTTCTCAGCAGCTCACTACTGCTTTTATAGCATGCCTCCTCCTGGTCATGACTGAAAAATCTGCACCAGAAGTTCATTTTCAGTGTTTCTCAAAAAAGGGTAGTGCAATAACCATCTGGTTACAGAACAGGAGTTGTATATTTAAAGTTTGAGAGATTATAACAACAATAGCTCATTCAGAGACAGGGTCTGGGTTTCCTTACACAAAAAGCCTGGTTTACCTGCTCACTCATAGGCATCCACTTGTTCACTGCAGCCCTGCTGTTCATGTGCTTGCTAATGAGACACATTTTCCACTCTGCTTGTCTCAGTGAGAAAAATATCATGCTTCCTCTCTAATTCTGTACCTACTGCAGCAAATTTAACATAATCAAAGTTTTATTTAATATTGTGGGCAGTGCACATGTCAACATAAGCTTCATTTCAAGAAAGACAGAAACCCACTGCCTATGTCAGTGCATACAACAGGGGCATCTACGCCTATACATGCGCAGACAGATGCTCACACTATGTCTGTAATGCAAATCATCTTCAAAACTCAAACCACTCAGCCCTTTTCAAAAAGACCTTTATGTTTTTAAAACTTAGGCGATGTATTGTATTTGCATAACAATAAGTAAAGGTAAATGTGGTGCAAAAGGACAGTTCTAGGGCAACCTCAAAGACACAGCAATGCCAGGGACATCAATGACATTCATCTCTTGCTGAAAGGATTGTTGCATTCAATTCCACTGAGACACTTTCTTAGAGGTTAGAGAGCAGCAGAACAAAAGTTTATTTTCTAATTTCATTTCTGTTCTAGATTATTAGATTCTCTACTAAAAGAAAAATTATAAGAAATACTGCAGAGATAAATGATCAAATTATCAACATGAAATAAGCTTTTAGAACAGTAACAATTCAGCAGTAACAAATATTTTCATGAGGGGCAAAATGGCCTTTACGTTTTTAGGTCAAAAAGTTCAGAGTCCATTAAGCACTGTTTTAAGTGTGGGTTGGAATACTACATAATGTTCTTTATTAGGAGGAGAAGTTTGGGAGTCCATAGTACTTTAAAAACATGTTTAAAGACTGTGCAGTGTTTATTGAATTAGTGTGTTCCAGGTGTCATTTGGGAAAAAACCCAAAACATACAATTTTCCTCTGAGAACCCTACCAAAGCTTGCAGAAGGCATGAAAACAGAATTTAGTAATTTTTGTGTGTTTTTTCTTTTTAATATTTAAATAAGTAATCACAAAAGTAAGAGATGTTAATTTAACTTTCCTCCTCCAAGTAACTTCCTGAAGATAATCTCTAAACCTCCTGACGTATGCTCTTACCTCATAACCGGTTCAGCCGCTGTGTGTGCCCGATAGAACAGTGTGTATAAGTATGGCAGGAGGACATAGCGCTCTCTAATGGCTTCCCTGATGATCTGGGTGTTCTTCTCCCCAAAGAGCCACGGTTCTCGTCGTTTGCTCTCCATGTTAGAATGACCTCTGAAGAAGGGCTGGTAGGCTCCAGCCTGATACCAGCGAACAAGTAATTCTGGTTCCGGATCTCCAATAAACCCTCCCACATCAGCTAGATATTGCGCAGACAAATAAAAATACATATTTTTGGAAATTATTCTGAAAAATATGAAGTTCTCCTCTAACAAACATTCCAAGTGTATAAATCCATGCATTTCACAGCGTGCTTGCAGTTCTGCTGTTGGGCAGCTGCTTGTCCAAATAAGAGTGGAAAATTTGTGTAACAAGTTATCCTTTAACAAAAATCTCAGGAGAGCTTTTGGAAGCTAAGTGAGTGCCTTCCCCAGTGACAGAGGACTGTCACAGAGATGCTACGGAACACCACCTGAGGATCGCTGCTCCAGATGGAACACAGACACTACATAAGAGTTAGTGGAGAAATGATGGTGAGAGCCAGGTTATTGGCTTCTGAAACCAGACTAATCTGTGAAACTGCCTGGAAATGCATTGGACTGTTGAGCTTTCCACCATCTGTGTTGAAGTCTGTCTTGGGATACAAGCTTGGTGGCACCAGTGATTTATGCATAGTGAGCAACTCCAGCTAAACACCTTACCTCCACAGAATGAAATCCCTGCCATGCTGATGGTGAGAAGCATTGGAATGGATATTTTCAAGTAACCCCACTCTGCCGTGTTGTCTCCAGTCCACACTGCCCCTGGAAATACTCAGTCTCAGCATTACACAGGAAAGTTGGGCGTATGCTTCAGCTTATGCTTGCAGTTAAGGAAAGAAGACAAGAATGGTCATGAACTACTGGTGAACTGCTGTTCATTGCAACCTTTTTTTCTTTATACACGCATGCTCCTGAAATATGCAATAAAAGCAGGTAGTGGTTTGTCACAGGACACAGGTTGTTATTCTGCCTTTAACTTGTACACGCTTTGCCAGCCTCTCCTGATTTTTTTAATCACTTGCACTCTTATGAGCTCCCCATGTCAGTATTTCTAAGGTAGTTTCTGTCCTCTCTAGACTTAACTACTACACACCAAACTTAATAGAACAAAGCAGCATGGAAGGCATCCAGCTAGTCCTTACTTACCATACTTCTGTGATCCAGCGAAGAAAGACCGTGTGAGGACAAATGGTCTCTCTTTTCCTGAAGAACGCCTGATGAGTCCTTCTGCAGTTGCCATTTGCTGAAAATCATTAATATAAAAGCCAGGAAGACAAACTCTATAATTAGGATATTTGCTACACTGCCTTTTTAGCCCTTCCAAGGCAGGAAAATTAAGAAATCTGTACCCACAAATAATACCTATTATTAAAGCAACACTTTCTTACTAGAATATACTTGAACAAAAAAAATTATTAATATCGTGTAGTCACAGCCAATGTCATTTACATTGTTATGGTAGAGAGGCACGGATGTTGTCACATTTTCTTGTGACCAATCACAGAGTTTATTTCACATATAGCAATACCCAGCACAGCAGAGTTTCAGTCCTTGATGGAGGTTACAGAATACCTACTACTGTGTAAATTACCACATTAGACATACTCCATGAGAATAACTGCTGGTTTGTGTCTCCAGATACTCTACCTGGTAGAATCCGTAGAGGTTGTGTACTTCCCGATGCTCCCAGTTGTTGTAGTGCACAGCATCTTTCTGCATTGTTAGTTCTGCCCCTTTGAAGACTGAAGGCTCATTCATGTCATTCCATACAAAGAGGATGTTAGTGGATCCCTATAACACAGGGTTGCAATTAGGACATAACAGAGCCATTGCTGTGACTTAGTATGTTTATCTCTAGTGGGTGTCAGACCAGCCTGGGGTATGAGTAGAAACAGCAGCAGCAAAGCAAGACATGGTAATTATACTCCTGTGGTCACTTGAAAGCTGCAAGTCATTCACTTCATCTCTCTCAGTGGAACTTCTGGTCAGGGTGGCAGCCTACAAGTCCACTTGATTTTTGCAATTCTTACAAAACTCAGTCGGTACTTGCTATTCCTGCCTTCTGGTGAGGGAAAAGAGGCAGGGAAAAGAGAAGTATTAAATAACCATGAGGAAAAAATCAGAGAAGGCCAGAAGAGAAAAACTGGAGAGGAAAAGCAGCATGGGAAACGTCTGCTACGCATGTCTACTAGGGGAGTGGTTTCAACAACCCTACTGCGAAGGAGAACTTCGGGGCGGGGGGAACTGGAGGTGTCCAGCAGTGTTCACCCAGACACTTTCAGCACTAGGCAGGAGTGCTGGAAGGAAGGTCAGGGTGAAGTGACCATGAGCTATGAGAAGGCACTCCCACATCACTCCTTGTGTGCTATCATGGTAGTAAAAGCTGGAATTGCAGCAGCTGTGTTAGATTATGGGTTGCTAAAATGCCTGTAGTTTGTCCATCCTACTGCTGCAACTAAGTGAGCAGGTTCACTGGTGGCATATGGATTCCAACTTTCTTAGCGTAGACAAGTCCATGGAGAAAATTCTTCTGTGGTACTTCAGCTTATCAAGGTATTTTCCTCTACATTATGATAACACAACTACAAAAGCCACCAACTTGCTTAGCCAGTAGTTTATCTTCTCTCTTTTCCCCATTTTCAGGCTTTCTGGGATATGTAGATTAGAGCAAATAAATACACACCTTGTACGTTTTGAAGGCAAATTGATCTGCATACCATTTTCGCACTTCAGGATTGGTGAAATCCAGGTAACAAGAGGAACCTGTGGATGTGGGAGATCTCAATTATTTACTTGATTTTAAGAGCATGCATGCATTGTCTTTGCACCTAAATACAGTGGCCTAAAGCTAGGATGCTTTCCACAATGGGCAGCAATGATGTGGTCGCTATTGTTTCTGCGACAAAATCTCAAGAGCAAATTCCAGGTTGACTTGGAACTCAGTACACCCCTTGCCATGTTCTGCAGACCAACACATGTAGATTCTGGAGGTTTGAAGCTCAGCACCATTTAAGGATGACTGCTAGCAGTTTGAAATATGTTCAGATGTGAACAGGAAGCCAGGGAGAGACATCATCCCTGGTATTTTGAGCTCAAACAGGGAGGTGTCACTGAGAAGCTGAATAACAACATCCTGCCATGCTACTAGAAGTTGTAATACGTCCTTGTTTTTTCTCATATTCATTCCTTTGCCAGGATTGTGGGCTTTCCATCTGCAAAGAAGGGGGACAACGTCCTTTGCCTCCCCACAATGAGATCTCCTCATGAAAAACAACACGTCAAATCACTATATTATGATTGAATCAAAGTCTTCAGTATCAGGGCTCACTTAATTTCATCCAGCCTCCTTAAGCTGTGCTCACTGCAACAGACCAGACTGCATTTCTGTTACCCAAGACAAGTTGGGGAGAGGGATGGCTGTTCTGATCAACAAATCCAACTGTTTTAGCTCTAGGCACTGGGACTATCTGCAGAGCCAACAGACGTAACAGAGGAAGTTGTACAGCTGAGGCAAGTGGAACATGACTGTACCAAAGAAACCACAAAGTATTTGAAATTATGAATATTTACAAAAAAGGCAAGGAATGTAAGAATTTAATTCCACTTCTATGGGTCCCAGTTAAACTATTCTGCAACATTTTAAAAATAAACAGCTTGAAATGTAGAGACAAAGTAGTTTTTTACCTGGCCAACAGATGCCCTCAAAGTCTTGCCCATTTCTATCTTTCACAAAATATCCCTTGTCTTTTGCCTGTGAATACAGGGTATACGTGGGATCAACCTTAATGTGGGGATCTACAATGACGACAAGCTGCCAGGACAAGAAAATGCATCATTAGCATCAACTGTACTGAATAAAACAGTAAGAGTTCACTTTTGATAAAAGGCTAACTTAAGCTAAAGAAAGTAGCTGTGTCACTACTTTCAGAAAGCAGTTACCAGTTCTTGTATAAACTGTGCTAGACTTATGTATAATAGCTGAATTTACAAGGAGGGCATGAATTCGTGCTTACCCCTCTGAAATAAGGGCCAAAAAACATTGGTTCAGATAAAAGCAAGTACCCCAGCCCCTAAAAACACTATGTTTAATTCACTGCTGTATTCTGGGAATGGGAAAATATCTGACTTCCATGTTCATGTCCCTGCTTAAAATCATTTGCCTTAAGACATTTAAATATAGCTTAGTTTGTATAGCATACAACAGCAACAGAAGTTTCTAATTTTTTTAAACATGCAGTATTACAGTTACTTTTCAGATAAAAGCAAGTACCCCAGCCCCTAAAAACACTATGTTTAATTCACTGCTGTATTCTGGGAATGGGAAAATATCTGACTTCCATGTTCATGTCCCTGCTTAAAATCATTTGCCTTAAGACATTTAAATATATCTTAGTTTGTATAGCATACAACAGCAACAGAAGTTTCTAATTTTTTTAAACATGCAGTATTTTACAGTTACTTTCTGCTGCCACTAACTGTCTTGCTGTAAAGCTGAAAAAGTACTATAGCTCCAACTAGGAGATTATAAAACTTGAATGCTATTTCAACAGTCCCCCATTCATTGACTTTTGGCAAAGATCAAGCATTAAGCAATTCTACAACTTTTAGATATCAACTGTGTACATTTTAATACCTCTATAATTTCAAGGAAAATATTTTAGCTGTAAAAGCAGAAATAAAGACTAACTAAGCTAACACACTGCACATCATACCAGGACTTCACCAGAAGGAAAAAACATTTAGTTTGTGGTAAGTAATCGTATCAACATAAAGGACAAATCTCAGTTAGTATAAGCAAAAAATAAAAAGTATTATCAATACAAAGAAAAGCTGAAGCGAGGATAGAAACTACCAATGGTGAAAGCTCATGTTAAGTAGAAAAATTTTCTACTGTGCCCATCAAGGACATCACTGGGCTGCTTCTGTAAGATGGAGCTTCATATGGGTCAAACTTAGCCTGATGGTCAGGGTACAGAACAAACTATGAAATAATAAAAAGGCATGAGGAACTGAATTAAACAAGATAGCTGGTGCACTGGAAGCATCACCAGACCACAAAACAGCCTAATTTACTCTGTTGTAGTTAAACTGTTTCCAGTATCTGAAGTACCTTGGTTAAAGCTAGACTAGGTAGCTTCACACTACAAAGAAATATTTTCTTTCTTCCTGCTATATTATTTACCTTGCGTTTTTTCTTCCCAAGATGTTCTTGCATCTTTCTGGGGTTCTGGAATTTCTTTTTGTCCCAAGTAAAATACCTCTTGCCATCTGTGTGCTCTATGTCCAGCCATATCACATCATAAGGAATGTCGTGTTCATCAAAGCCAGCATCTACTGCCTTGACATCTTGCTCATCCTCATAATTCCAGCGGCACTGATGGTAGCCCAGCGAAAAAAGCGGGGGCAGGGCTTGAGTGCCTAGGAAGAGTACATGAATGAAGATAACACTGTTAACGCCCTTCAGGATTTTATCTAGAGACTCTAGAAAAGTTAACATGATTAATACGTATCTGTCTGGAGCTGGGAATGCTGGCCTAAGTTGAGTCTAGAGCATGTTCTTCATACCAAAGTGACTGAACTCTCGAAATAACAAATATTACAACAGGCTCAACAGCCAGAAAGAGCAGAGGGCTATAATGATAATACAAGACTGAGAAGGAACTTGCTGTTCCATGATGCTGAAGTGCTATTCCAGTAACCAATATAAATTTATTCTTCAATTTTTTCTAATGTAAAAATATTCTAGATTAGCTTAACTGTCATTAATGCAAACAATTAGATTTTAATCAGTACAATGCAATTCCTGTGACTGCTTGAACCTGAGTAGTGTAAACAGGCCCACAGGTGCTGCAGTACAAGGAGAACCATGGAATTGCAATTGTTAGAAATGTTTAAAATTAGAAAACATGTATGTATGTATGCATATGGCAAAAGGGAGCTGGGAAACTTTCCCAGGTGTGCACTTCCGCTTGGCGAGATCCTCTTGTGATCTGGCTACTTTCCTATTCCTGTTCAGCTGAACCACACTCTCTCCATAACATCTGTGCAGCAAACAATCATTGCTAACACACTAAAGAACTACCAGGGATGTTCCTGTGCTTTTAATTCCCTTTAGTACATAAAGAATTTTGCTTTCATAAAATGTTAGTCCTCTTGCCTCCATTTTTTCAGTCTCTTCCTGAGCCTCTTGCTTCTTTCCTTTCCATATCTGCATGCCATCTCTGCTCCCTTCCCTAATGGACACACTGGACAGTTACCCATCTTCTTTCTCTACTCTCCAGGATGCACTACTCCATAACTTCAGTCTTTTCTCATTATAAGGCAGCCTGTCTTGATGGTGACTGGCAGTTCTAGCCCCTGTGCCTCCCCTCTTCATCTAAGGGAGCAGTTTCAGATAGCAGTAACTATGCCGGCTTCTCAATTAGGGCCAAGTTTGACCAGCTGCAGATGCTAGGGAAAACAAGGATGGAGGCCTGTCTTCACAAAGCACCAGCGTTTGCTCTACAAACTGCAGTTTGGGAACAACTGGCCTCCTGCACACAATGGGCTAGGTAAATATTAACCCACTCTTGGGTACAGCATGTTCCTCAGAGAATCTCCCAGGTGAATGTGCCATACTGACTCCAGTTATGTGAGTTAGTACCTGTCAGCTGTGCAAACTGCTTGAAGATATCAAATGCAGTGGGTCCCATCAGCAGGAAAACATCAATGATCCCACTTTCTGACATCCAGCGCACATCAGTTAGAGGCACTGCCCTCTGCTTAGCAGTCTCTGCAGCAGATCCGGATGGCATGTGCTTTGAAGGAAACCAAGGTAAAACTGAATCTCTCTCTCTATCAAACTTTTGTTCAATGAAGGAGCAGAGATGGAAAACCACAAAACTCACTAACACATACCTGGCAAGTATTAGGAATACAGACTGAATGTTTCTTATATATCCTTCACAAATCCTTTACCTTGCATACTGCTTATACAAAATACAGAGCAATAGTTAATGAGGAAAAATGGGTAATGAGGGGCAAAGTAATTAAAGCTTTTCTGTAATTAAAGATTATGTATTTTCTGCAGGATCTTTGAGTAATATCTATAACTATACCATGAGTAATAAAGAAAATTAATAATTTTAACCACCTAATGCAGTGCTGGAATAAAACAACATTCTTTTTTCACTGTTTCAATTTTAACAGAATTCATATGTTTGTGTTTCAGAAGTTGAGTGAGTTCACTTCCTGAATATTTTATGTTTCTTGAAGGTCAATTACATTCCACAGAAGAACGAGCCTGCTAAGGAGAAATGTGTGACAACTCCAAGAATTTAAAAACTCAGAAAAATTCCTCAAATCCAAGAGATTGTCAAGATTTTTGTCCACTCTTTTTTCTGCCTGCTACATCCACCTGCGTATTTTTTCTGCTCCAACATTACACATTTCCTCTCTGCCTTCTCCTGTAGACGTGTTAAGATACAAGTTCTATAACTTGACTCTTGAAAGGAGTCATCTCCTTGTTCTTTTCAGTGGTTTAATACAACGAATTTAGCAGTAGGGAGGACAGGAGGAAGAGACTGACAATTCTTCATTAGGGAGCAAAAGATCAATCTCCAATAATGTGGTCATGTTCCTGTTGGCCCTGCCCTGGAGTGTTTTCTTTCATTATTACATTCTGAGGAAAGTGAGCAACTCACCTCAGCTACTGCCTTTGTACTAATATCCACCAGCGTTTCTGAAGAGTTCAGCCAGAAGATCCCTGAAGTTCTGTTAGGCTTGTGTGCTAAGAGAAGGGGCACTGAACCATAAATGCCTATTTTGTCATGTATCTTGTGGCCGAAGATATCTAAATTATAAAGCCGGTAGGCATCACCATCGCTAGGACAAACAAACAGATGTGTTTGTTACATGTAAGCATCCTGCACTAGGCCAATTTTAGCTCTATTGCCAACCCACTAACCTCAGTAAACACTCATTGAATGCTCTGTATTATGGTCTTTTGTTTAGCATCCAGAGCTGAAATGTGGACAGCCTAGTTTACTGCGTCTTTGCTTTGGTCCTAGCTATCTGAATCAAACAACATTTTTGCTGCCAGTGAGACTATTGCTCATTTGCTCTAAGTCCTAAAATATGAATTCTGAACTCTCTTTTAAGAGTTCTGCTTAAACATCACCAATCCTGCAATTCTGAAAAAAACTGCATGGAAAATTGAGAGAGAACAGAAGGGGTCATTCATGAAATTGCAGAGTGGAAAGGGAAAGCAGAACTCACTCCACGTGGACAGGGGCTATGATCCAGCTTGCTGTATCATTAAACTAAAATATATACTATATAATATACATATCTCAAGCTGTTGTCTGCATTAAATTATTAAGACAATGTTATAGCTCTCCTTTACAAAAACGATACTGCTTTCACTAGCAATCTGTCACCTTTACCTGGTGTTTTTGAGAAGAAGTGCTTCTGTGTGTTGTGGTATTCCATAAACATGGTCAAATCCATGTAAAGAGAAGTCCATGCCTACAGAACTAGGACCTGTGGGAATAACATTAAAAGAGAAGACCACAGAGTTCTACTCTCAGACTTAGCTGAAAGCAACAGAGCAGAGCAACCTAACTGAAAAAAAAATATTAAAAAGCAGGTTTTAATAATTAGCTCTTTCACACTTGTTTTCAACTTCACTTTCATTATTACTTATGTACTATAGAGGTAATGTTTCAAACAGATTTTATTGTATTCTGATTTTGGTCTGCTTAAGAAGATAAAATGAATCACTTCAATAGAAAAAAAATACATGTAATAGTGGGTCCCTTCTTTATTCTGTAGTGAAACTGCTTAAAATTATCTCCTGTTTCTATCCCAGTACCTACAAGCCAAGCTTTACAGCACAGTGGTACAGCAGAGTGGACTTTAGAGTCAGAGTTGCCTGTTTTCTACCGCTCTTTTCTTCAGCCTCAGCCAGGGGAGTAGCACGCATAAGAGCCTCTGCCAGTGATATCATCTTGTCACATTACTGAATCCAAAGCAACTTTTGGCAGGTGACCAGAGACCCTGTAGACTGACAAGCAGTGGCTTCAGGATCAGAACCTGACCATATGGACTTTACTCCTCCAACACAGAGAAGCAGAAAAAAACATGACGCTGGCCTAATACATCAGATACAGCATGAACAACAAGGGCAACAGCTTCCTGCCCCTCTGTGTCTTGACTGTGGACCGAAGAAGCCCGTCACCAAAAGGAAGCTCTTTCAGACTTCCCTCTCCCTGCTGCAGCTGCTGGGTCATGCTGGATGCTATAAAAGTGTGCACGATAGTGGTAACAGACTAAGCTAACCAACCCAATTAATGCAGAATACAACTGGACAGACAGCAGATGGTCATAAATTTTGGTAATTAAAAATTTAAATTGTATTTGAACTACTGGTTTCTATAACCTCCTTCTTATCCCTTAAGACTGCTCAGTATTTCCTTTTGTAGTCCCCCACTTAAAAAGTTTTTCTGTGACAATTATTAATGCTTAGATATCATGATTTCTGGTATGTCGTGAGAATAAACTACAAGTGAAATCAATGTCATGTGCTGATACTAAAAGAGAAAAAAAGAAAATAAAAAGGAAATAATGTATTATATACCAGTCAGCCAATGCAGATAGGGTTATGCTGTGTCAGAAATGGTACACAGTGAGCTGACGAAATGGGTCACATTTAATATGTTCCCTCCTGAACAGAAATCTAATTAATATTTCCAGTACTTTTGTCAAATTTGTTACCCATCACTGATATCTGATAGGCAAGTTAAAAGAAGGAACGAGTGAGACACTGATAAACATTAAACAGCTAAACAGAAAGCAGACAGAAATATGAATGAACACAAGTATATACAAAGCAGTAAAGCTGTTTTCAGAACTAGACTGAGACTTACCATGAGCTTTGATGTCTAAGAAGCTGCCAAACTTCTCTTGCCAGAGACCTAGATCCTCTTGTTTCTCCTGCGTAAACAGAAATAGCTAAGCCTAGCAAATGCAACTGCTCACACAATGTATTTCTATGAAGAATGTTTATTCACGAGATTTGTACATTGTTAACTGTTTTTTTGTCAAATATGGTTAATATAAATAAATCCAAACCACAGTTCAGATCCTGCTGCAGGAATTTACACTGAAGAACTGATGTGCTAGTGGAGCACACGTGCACTCTGCTACAGCATAAAAGTAATATCTGAGGTCTTGGATAGAATCATAGAATGACAGAATAGCCCAGGTTGGAAGAGACATCAGAAGATCATCTGGTCCAACCTTTTGTGGGAAAGGGAGCCTAGATGAGATTAGCTAGCACCCAGTCCAATTGCATCTTGAAAACGTCCAGTGATGGGGACTTTACCATGTCCCTGGGGAGGTTGTTCCAGTGAATGATTGTTCTAACTGTAAAACGTCTTTCTTCTGGATGTTGAACATGATTATGAAATGCTAAGATTGTATGGATGGAACCAAACAGGAAAACCTATACAAACAGAAACCAACCCACGCTCCTAAACAGTAGGGGTCAGACAACAGAAAAACTCTCCAGACTCTCCAGAGTCCTGTGTGCGTAACTCATACTTTTAGCCTCCTTCAAATGTTGAGCTTTGTGCCCTGCCATTCATTGTCCTAGAATTTCCACTTTTTGCAGTGTCTTTCCTGGTTTTCTTTTCTACATTCATCCCAGAATAAGCGGATGTGGCCTCTTGCAGCTGTATGACTCCCCCAAAGCAAGCACGCTCCCTGGCAGAATCCAGAGTTCAGACAGAAGTATGCTGAAGGCAGCATATCTCCTGCCATTTATAACAGGATGGTGGAGTAAGCAGCCATCTGCTCTACAGGAGGCTAAAATTACATCATGGACATAACTCAGCCTCCTGAGAAAACTGGTATGTGCCTTTATGCACTGCCAGGACCTGGTCTTTTTTCAGAGAGAATCTTACTTCTGTACTAAGCATGAATGTATGTGGAGGCATGTTTTTGGACTGTTATAAACCAGGTCTCATTCTTTTGAAATTCTCTTTGCAATGAACAGGGAATTTGAAAATGGCCAAATATCGCCACAAAACTCCCTTTTACACATCTACTCCAAATCAAATGAGAGAACAAAAGAGAAAGAAATTCTAAATAAAAAGGCCATGGAAAAAACATTTCTGAGCCAGATCTACCTGACTGATGCTTTCTACAGCCCGGGTAAAACACATAAACCTTTATTCAACTATGAATTTGCAAATATCTCAGTATGAAATATCAGGTCCTTTTTGAATTTCACTGGAAAGTGGTTAGATTATGTTTGTAAACATAGTACCAGAAGAAATCATGAACATGTGATTCTAATTAATCAATTCTCTTTTCTACAAAATATTCATGCTGAAATTGATGAAAGCATGGGTTACCTTAGAGGAATCACTTGCTGCCTCCTCTTTGTTTTCTGCTATAGGTTTTCTAGTGAAAACAAATACATAATCAGTTTATTGTTAACATAAGGAAGGATTTCAAACTGAAAATTCATACAGCATTATGCATTGCATTATACATTATATAAGAGTTTTAGTGCGTGACTATTCTGAAAATTGGTGTCATAGTTGAGAGCTCTAACTGGCAAATAATTTTAATATTCAATGTCTTAAAATAACCTTCACTCTGTATTTGAGTTAGGTTGACTCCTTGGCCTTTCACATTTATTTCTATCTGTGTCAGTGTTTTACCCACTCAGAAGATCCTCACTTCCTCGTTATTCTCTGCTAAGGGCTCTCTGTTAATTACAATTTTTGAAATAATGCTCTCTAGGAGAGACACTTGCTATGCTCTTTTCCTAGTCGTGACATGTCCTGCACTGTGGTTTCTCACCCTTTCAGCACTTTGCAGTGGGATTGACCTGTAAAATCTTGCAGCTATATGGCACATTGCAAGTTGAACAAAACTTACTTCAAGAGCTTATATAGTGAACAAAACCTACCTAAAGAGTAAGTTTAGTCATAAAAGGAGACGAAACTAGTAACCTCATCATACTACCATCACTCACTCCCAAGAAAGACAAGGGGTACCAGGATACCTTAGTGTTTTATAGAATTGGCCATTAAATGAGGTTAGCATTTTGCACATGGCTGCTGCAAGGGATTAAAACAGTCTGCAGTTAAGTGATCTAGAATTTCTTTGTTAGAACTTCACCATTGTACTTACTGGTATGAAGTAAAAGAGAAGACAGATTTCAATGCATAAGAGCTTCTATCACAGAAATTGCAATTCCATAGAATTGTTTATCTTCAGCTACAGCACAATCAGTACATACTACAGTGCGATAGACATATACTGTACCTATCACAGGGAGGTGGTTGTAGGTGCTCAAAATATAACAACCCATTGGAATTCATGCTCAGAACAGTCTCACCCTTGGAGTGCAGCTCAATCTGGAAGGGGTTTGCTGTGACTTGAAGTTTGTAGTCCTCGTTAACACTTGACAGCACCAAAATACCTGCCTCCTTCTCGGATATAAAGAGTCTGGCAAATGAAAAACAACAACAGCTTTATATCAATCAGCACCACATGAAATCCACTGTAACTAAACAACAATTTGAAACAAAAGATGGGCTGAGAACATCCGCGTACATTATAAAAACCTCAAGGCTAATGTTGAGGCAAAGAACCCCAGAAATACATGCTGTGTTCAGGGTTCACTGCACAGTGCAACAAGTGGCTACAGAACTGCCATGAAAACTATCCAGAGTTTGCATTCATTTCACGTTAACAGGTAATGCCTTAGGTAAAAATGATGATCATAACAAGTAGGCTATTTTCTGATTGGGTCAAATAGCCTCAAGTTTCTTACGTATATGACAAAACTTTCTCCTATGTATTTAACATGAATTTTTGAAAGTAAATTAACCACATTCATTCTTATTTTCTTTCTGTAACAACTTGGTATTGTAGAGAGACAACTGTAGTGTAGTGCAAATGAGGGAGAAGGGAAAACACTCTTGCAAATGAAGCTGTATAAGTTACTAAGGTGCTAACTCATCTTCCCATCACTTACCTCTGGGTGGTAGGTTCCTTTATAAGAACATCAGGAACTTTGTACCTTGCTCTGAGAGGAGCTGCCTCATCGATTTTAAGCCTGAAAATATTGCCTTCTATTTCACAAATTTCTACCTGTAGAAGAACCTGGGAGCAAACAAACAGATAAACTCATAACAAATACCAACTTACTTTTCAACTCAACATCACCAAACACTTACCATCTGGAAAAAAACATGCCTGCTTTCTGACTTAATGTTCTTTAGCGCTGCTGAGCAACAATCATCATCCATCTGAATTTACACCAGCTAACTCTACTTCTCCCCTTTGAAGAAGCAACTCTTTTTAAGTGGACTCTATCTTCAAGTCTCTCATGTCTAGCATTTTGCAGCTCTCCCCACAAGCAGCATGGAAAACAGGAGTAGTATACACTAATCTCAGAAGTTTGGACAATTTCACTACTGTGCTGCCAGTGTAAGAGTGGGATACTACTGAGATGTGGGCTTTCTGCAAAAACGTCAGTGCTCTGTGTTCATTAGTATTCACAGTGATGCTGACACCGATGAACTGTGTCAGAAAGACACCTGAAGAAAATGCATAATACTGCCCTATCCACTGTAACTTGCTATTTTACAGTTCAGGGAACTGGGAAGTCACTCTGTTCTAGCTCATACAAAATGACTCATTTTTCTTCCGTGGAGGACCCCTACACCACAAGTCAGATTTTTTTCTGTTTTTTCCTTTCTTAATCTCTCCTCCCGTGAGACACAAAACTGGCTGAAGAGTTTTGGCCTGATATCTTTTCCCTCCACCTGGAAGCCAATCAGCCCCGCTCTCTTCAAAGGCATGAAAGAATTAAAAGATCCGTAAGACCAGAGGCGGAGTAGGCAAGAGAGAAAAGATTCATTTGGAGTTCCAGATCCTGCTTCCTAGGAAATATTTTACATTATGCCATCTTTGTATAAACCCCCAAATAGTCTAGGAAGCCACAGAGCCTTCAGTCTTTCATATACCTTAAAATCTAGACAAAAAATGGGCTCCTTTTTCTGTTCTGACTGCAAAGAAGGTCAGGATTAACAAGAGAGGCAGAAAATACATTTATGCAGAGTATCTACATAGTGTGATGCTTAGACCATGGAAGAGAGCTGTAGTTCCAAACTCCCATAATCTGAGGACGGGTTAGGCTGCCTGTTCCCTGAGTGAATGTGCTAGCTGCTAAGCTGTTAAATTAGAGAAATAGAAGACACCCCTCTTCCTGGCTGTCTTCTTAAATGTGAAGACGACTTCTTTTTCCCAAAAAACTGCCTTTGAGCAAACACAGAAATACAAAGGTATGATTAGGAGGTGCTGGAACATAGGTCTTCTTATTCCACTACAGAAAAAGAATTTATTATTTTGGAATAGTGAAGAAAACTCTGAATTAAAAACATTTTTTCAGCTAAAAAGAGTTCTATTCAGATTTTTCATAAAGTCGTTAAAGATTTTTTTTAAGTTCCTTAAGATACCTGTTCTCCTTGCACCGTCTCAAGTTGTCAAACAAATATGGACCAGTAAGGACATCTTTAGGCTGATACTTTGCATCATATCTTAAATGTCTACCACTGAATAATCTCAAACCCTGCAAATATTATCAGACTTGTTGATAATATTCACTGCTCTTTCTGTAAGCACGCTTTTATGCTAGGTGGGATCTCACCTTATTCTCCTCATGAATAATTTGGAATTTGACATTCTCATCACTTAACGTGACTGAATCCAACAATGCTCGATACAAGGATTTTCCAGGATGTAGAAGTTTCTGACGCCTGTCAAGACAGAAAATTATTTTTGGTCTCCCTAATTGTTGTGGCTTATATTATACCGAAGGACATAATATTGTTAGAAATGTTTACTCAATAATTTTGTCTTGTATTTTTTCAAATACAATTATCATCAGCACTTTAAGTCAAGGAGAAAAAAAAGGAATATAGTTCTGAGCACACATACATGTTTATGAACGAGACGGTAGAGGGGTTTGGTCACCCATCACCACCCTATAGGGTTTTTTTTAACAATAATCTTCATTCAGGTGTCCAACTAAATTCTCAGTTGTCCAGTTACATTCTTCTTCTTTTCATGACCCTAGAAATTTCAGCTGAATAATCTGTTTTTCATTTTCTGTCATATACCCCTGCTTGGTCTGCAACCCCCCGGTGAACAGCTTCTACATTCTGTGGTGATGAAACAGTGTATGTTTGTAATTTGTAACCTCCTGAATATGCACTGAGGAAATTGTTTTTCAACAAGCCTGTTGACTATACAGTTTTGACTAGAGCTTTTGGCCCTGATGATGTTTTTAGGACAGAGACCCTGAAACAGAGGCTCTTTCAACTGTTTGTAGAATGCTCTTTGCTGAGCCCAGGTTTTATGAACTATTTGAAAATAAGTGTCTTGGAGGCTACCTTAAAGGGAAGCTTCTTCATTAGTAAACTGACTTTGTTTCCTTGCAAACAGATACTGCACAAATGCGAGCAATCAGATAAAGGATTTCTTTTAAAAGCATAGCAAAGACAGGATCTGATACTTGCCAATGTGTGGCAACCTCCTGCTGAGAAATTAGATGTGTTAAGTTAAAATGGCGACAGGCTAGAAAGGGCTGCTGTGAAAAGAGGAAGGAGTCCTGCTCCCACTGGCAAAACGTTACTTGGGGTTTTCTGAACGTAATTTCCTGCAGAACAGAAATGAATATCTGAAACTGTAACCCAGCACGTCAGTGGCTAATTGGTATAACACTGGGCAATCATTCCTTTCACCCAGGCAGCAGTGGATAGAAGACAATGGAGGATGGGAGGAAAAAAAGCTGGAGGAGGGGTATCTCAGTTAGAAATGGGATGAGAAGGATCACTTAGCTTAAGATTAGCTTTAAGAGACTAATGAGCTAGAATTCAGACTTGATGCTGAATTCTGGCCAAGGTACTTGTTCAACTGGACTGTAATCATTTATGCTATTGTCACAGACTAATGGTTTCTATTGAGAATTCTGTCATTTTGAATTACGGATATTCAAGAAATATCCACATCACAAAACCAACCTGCGTCTGAGTGTACCTATAGTTAAAATATTGCTGAGGCTTTGTCAGATGAGAGGATTGACTCTTCTGAATTTTAAGAGAAGAGGTTTTGTATGTAAGATTCCACCTTTTAAAATACGCTGATTATTGCTTGCTGACAGGTGAGTGGAACGCTCACTTTGAAAGATAAATCCTGAAAGTAGCAGATTTGCTGTGATTAAAAATCAATGTGTAACTACTTCCTGTATCTTTTAATCTTACTAGTTTAAAAAAAAAAAACAACCCTACACCACAATTCTTCTCTTTACCTGTAAAAAGCAATCTGGTTGCATTCCTTAAAGGTGCTTTTGTCCACAGCCTCATCTTGGACACTAGAAAGAGCAGATAAAGAAAATGTTTGTGTTCACCAAACACCTGCTGAATGATCAGATTATTGGGGTTCTCCTCAAGAGGGGCAAGGATTAAAGAGAGTGCAGACAACTGTGGTGACATAAAATGTGTTGGACGTTGACCTACTGTGTTTGGATATGGGAAGAATTTCTTACACATTTAGTTCCATGTGAAACCATTTCCTTTTAAACTTTGATAATTTTGGCAAACAATTGAATCTGTGACTAACAGAACTGAATTTCAGCACGAGTGAATTCTTGGGGCTTTGCATTTTGAAGCCAGATCTCTCTCTGCAGTCCTTATAGTCAAATATTATGTTCCAGTAATAGGAATGAAGAGGCAGGACTGGCAGAAAAGAGAAACCCTGCACCCTTCTCTTCTACCTGCAGTGGGACCGATGAGGGAGGGAGGGAGGCTTCTGATGGCCCTGCTGACAGCTCTATGTTATCTCTAGGCTTGAGGTAACTTTTAGATCTATTAGATAACAGTAAATTTTTGGCTTGCCTGAAAAAATGGACTGCCAGTAATGCCTGTCATCAAAATACTTCCCATAACATGCTGAGTTCAGACACACATGGAAGAGAATAAGGTATTAGTACTGGCAGATAAAGAGCTGATGCTTACAAAATACTCATTAATTATATACATGCAACTTATATAATGCATATATAATGCAGATGGCAGCCATGAAGACTTGGTCACAATTACTGTGAACTAAATATTAATAGACCTGGATTATTATTGGAGACCTCACAGTAACCATATATTTAAGCAATTTAATCCTTCCCATTTTTGCCTGAAGATACCCATGCACTTTCGGGTTTTTGCACCAGGTCTGTGGGGCTCTGTTGCCATACCTAACACCCCGCAACCGGACTACCTTCCAGCGGTGCAGCCTGCACCCGAAGTAACCTGCGCGTTGTGAAACCTGCTCTCTGCCCCCCCTCCGCGGCCAGGTACGCAGGTTTTGCCCTGGCAGGGGCGGCGGGGACAGCGCCGCCACGGCCCCCGCACGCCTACCCCCCACCCCCGGCCGG